CGATGTTCCCTGTCCCTACAGGTTTGGGAGGGGTATTCCGCGTCCCTGCAGCTCTGGGGCGATGTCCCCTTTCCTTGCAGATCTGAGAGTGATGTCCCCTGTCCCTGCAGCTCTGGGACGATGTCCCCTGTCCCTGCAGCTCTTGGGCTGTTGTCCCGCATCCCTGCAGCTCTGGGGGGATGTCCCCTGTCCCTGCAGCTCTGGGACTGTTGTCCCGCATCCCTGCAGCTCTGGGACGATGTCCCCCGTCCCTACAGCTCTTGGGCTGTTGTCCCCTGTCCCTGAAGCTCTGGGACGATGTCCCCTGTCCCTGCAGCTCTGGGACCGTTTTCCCCTGTCCCTGCAGCTCTGGGGGCGATGTCCCCTGTCCCCACAGCTGCCTGTCCCTGCGATCACATCCCTCTCTCTGCCATCGCATCTCCCCACAGCCCCAGCTGGGAGCGAACTTGGACAGGAAKGACAAATTTGGGAGCATCCCGGGCTCCTGCTGCATCCCTGGGGTCTGCCAAGGCCTCGTGCTCCGTGCCAGGGAAAGAGGGAAAGGGACTCTGGGAGGGAAAATGCATGGTGTGACACAATTAATGCCACCCAGGCAGGAATTCTGGAGTTTTGTGTCTTTATTCCCCATAAGCACAGGCTGGCAGAGACTGAGTGCTGGYGAATTTAGGGAATTGTTCTGGGTAAAATGTGGAGTTTTACCCTGAAAAAGAACTTGGATTGCTGTTAAATGCAGTGCTAAGAAAAACTGGGAGTTAATAAAAGTTACCAGGTGAATTCTCTGCGTATTGTGTTAGGACAGGGTCCAGCGCACTCCAGAAATYTGGAAAACAAAGGGAAGACCCCAAATCTCCTCAGCACAAGGGACATGGAGCTCCTGGAGCAGGTCCAGGGGAGGGAATGAGGCCATTGGGGTGTGCTCAGGTGTGACCCAGCTGCCACTGGCCCTGGGGTAGAGCAGTGAACATGAGGTGTGCAGGCTCTGCCCTTGTTTGAATCCTGCTTCTGTTTTGGGGTTTTCTCCTGGAGCAATGACAAAGGTTCAGGAGGGGAACAGAGATGTGATGGGGACATTTTGGGAGGCCCAGGGTCCATGCTCAGTGAGCAAACTTCTCACCTGGAGAGGTCCAGATCTGTGTTTAGGGGTCAAGTCTGGGCTGCAAGGGAGAATAATCAATAAAATAATTCTGTGGATTTGTGATAATTCATCTCTAATCATGAGGCCAATTTCAACTCTGAGACCAGAGCCCCAAACAAGACAATTCCATCAGTTTAACCTTCCCTTTGCTGTGACAAACACCCTGAGCTTACAGCAGGAAGAGAAAACAACAGGAAGATTTTGTATCATTTGAAGGAGAGCGGCTGTTACCTAAAATATTTTTTTTATTGTCCAAATCCCATGAAACTCTGACACCCAAAGAGTCAAATAAAGGCAGGAAAATGAGCTCTCAGCAGCAATTATCCCAAAGGAAGTGACAGAATTATTAGCCAGARTAATTTCAGTTTTTGGTTAAAATATAAAACACAAGCCTTTGCATGTCTAACRCGTCTCCCAATTTCTGTTTCTGATTCGCAGATCTATTATAAAGTTATTAAAGAGATTGAGCCTGGAGAAGAGCTCTTGGTGTGTCTGAAGGAAGGTGGCTATTCCCTGGGGAACATGGCACCCAGCATGGAAGGTAAGGGATGTTCTGCACCTCWTTCCAGCACCCCTGGGACCCTCACTCTCAAAAACCTGATCCAGCATCTCCCCTTTCTATCACTTTTTGGATTTTGTGCTCATTTTCACGCTTTCCCTGGTGACAGTGACTGGCTCAGTTTGTGAATTTCAGTTTTTATCATCCTCAAGCAGATTAATTTCCTTCTCTTTGTGGGTTTGGATGTGATCAGAGGTGCCTTTTCCATCCCCACGGTCACACCAGGTGCCTTTGGATGCAACAAAACCGGCCAAACCTTCCCAAGCATTGGAAAACACCAGGCTGCAGAGATTTAGGGAACCTGGAAAAGGGGAATCCAGGGGGTGGAAAAGTCACCACAAAACTTAYTATTGCTGGAATAAAGACACCTCATCCTTCTCTGCAGCAGCTGGGAGCAGGTACAGGGACACATGGAGAGTTCTGGAAATCTGAGAGTGCTCCCAGCAGTGATTTTCCTCCTTTAGGATCCTTTTTTCCTGCATTCATCCAAGGCTCTGATGCTACAAACACAGTGCAAGGAAATAATCTCTGAGGAAAACAAGGAAAGATGTGCCCAGCATTATTATTTGAAGATTTATTTCTATAAATACATTCTCATTTACCAGTTGTTTTAAGACTGGAAATAATGTTTTGTTAGCTGGAAATAATGGTCTRTAAAATTAATTTATGAAATCAAAGTTCTCTCACCTGGGCTCTGTATCTAGTTCTCTCTATCCCACAATATATTTATTTTCTTTTACCTGTATATGAATACAATTTCTGATTAAATCCTGCACAATCAGTTTCAAATATTCCTGGGAAATGGGATAATTTGAGGATTTGTGCTGCTGGAAAATCGTTTGCTGAAGGGCTGGGAGTGAAGTGTGGTATTTATTCCCTCACTCATGTCAAGTTTGGGATTATTTTTTCACTGCTCTCCCCTTCCCCCCCAAAAAAAGTTAATGATTTCCTCAAGACCAACACAGAGAGATGAATAATTTC